GCCCACCGGCAGGCCCCCTCACTCGCCCCCTCCCCCACAGGCCCCGCCCCTGCTCACCAGCAGCTCCTCCTCCTTCTGGTCGGCCTGGGAGGCCATGCCCGAGTCGCTCTCGTCGTCGCTGTCCATGAGCACCATGTTGTCGCGGTCCTGGGGCCGTTCCTCCTCAATGACCGAGAAGGTGCCGGCGGGCTCCTCCCGCAGCACACCCTGCTGCAGCCAGACAGACATCCGCCGCCGCAGCAACGCCACCGGCATCTTCACCGCCTTGCTCAGCTCCTCCAGGGTCCAGGTGGCTGGTGCAGAGCAGTGGGGATGCCAAGCCTGCCCCTCCCCAGCCTCATCTGCCCCAAGATCGGCACGCACACTGGGACGGCCCTGGAATTCCAAGGGGTCTTTGGGGACATGGATGGTCTGCAGACCCCGACTAGAGAACGGGAAAGGGTTGCCCAAATCCTGCCCCCCTAGGGAACAGAGTTCTCCTACAGGCGGGGGGGGCCCCAGAGGCGAGGCCAGGTGGACATGGGCGCTTACCTTGATCCTGGAAGTACAGCAGGATCACGGCCTGCACGGGAGTCACGGCCACAGACAGCGTGCGGTCAGTCAGCTCCACATCCATGGTCACCAGGCCCAGCGTGTGCTTCCAGCTGAGGGTCCGCATGGCCTGCAAAGGGCGGGCCCAGGTCAGCACACTGCTCTGCTTCCTGAGGCCCTGGGGCTGTGGGACCAGGGCCACTCTGGGCTGGCTGCTACCCCGAGCCCTTTCACGACCCCCAAGAGCTCCAAGGGAGTGGTGACGTGGAGCTGTCCCACAGACGGAGCGGGGAGAGTTGGGAGGGTCGCGGGCGATGCCGCCCCTCTGCATGGGGCCCCCTTGGCCACTGGGCCGCAGACAGGTACCTTCAGCTTCTCGTACTTCTTGCAGTAGACGTCCAGAGCCCCCTTGATGTCCTCGGGGACCTCCAGCTTCTCGTCCTTGAAGGGCGGCCAGAACTCACTGGACAGGATCACCGCATAGACCCCAAATGGCGGCTGCTCCTCCGCAGGACGCTTCTCATCCTCCTCACGGATGTTGGCGTTGATGCGCCGAGAGTCTGCCATATCCTGAGAGAAGGGGACGAGAGTATCCAAAGACTGGGCCGGCTGGGGCCCACGGGGTGGGCAGGGGGCCAGGGCGGCACCCACCTTTAGCATGACCTCGCAGAAGTGCATCGGGGCCTCGCCAAAGCGCAGCTTCAGCAGCTCCACATTGCGGATCTCCCTGGAAGGACAGGTCTTGGGTGGGGCGAGGTGGGGATGGGGCCCACGCCCTACCTTGGCCCCTGCGCAGGGGCTCTGCAGGGCGCTCTCAGTGCTGGGACCCCATGTCAAGAGGGGAGATGGGAGCACGGCCGTCACAGCCCCTCCCTGCCCTGTCCTGCCGTGACCTGGCCAACCCTGGCCTCCCAGCACTCCCGTGCCAACCGTTCCCATGCCACCAGGCCTCCCAGGTGGTGACCTGAGCCACCAGGCCTCCAAGACCAGCCCTTCCCACACCACCAGAGCTTCAGGGCGGTGACCTGAGCCAGCAGGCCTCCCATGCTGGCCCTTCCCACACCACCAGGCCTCCCGGGTGGCGACCTGAGCCACCAGGCCTCCTGGGCTGTGACCTGAGCCAGCAGGCTTCCCAGACGGTGACCTGAGCCACCAGTCCCGGCCTGCTGCAAGAGCCTGAGCTCGCCCGTTGCCTGTGCACGCGGGGCCAAGAGAGGGCGGCGCTGGGGTGAAGGACGGTGAACAGCAGGGCACTCACCGCTCGGGGCTGAAGCTGAACTGGTGCAGGAGGCGGTCAGCGAGCAGGGAGCGGTACTCGTTGATGAAAAGATCCTTGCTGCCGTAGATGCTGACCAGCAGACTGATAATGTCTGAGGAGCGTCGCTTGGAGCTCGACTTCCCTGGCATGGGGGTGGGGGGGCACCACTGGCACCTCAGCAGGACTGGGACCCCCAGCCACGGCCGGGGCTTCGCCACATGGTGCCTCCCAGGGTGGCCTGGGACAGTGGCTCCAA